TCTGAGATGAGCCCAGCACAGGGACTGTGTTTTGTACCATCTTTTTGCCTCCCTTATGCTGGGGCTGAAGGGAGCCATCTCAGGCCCTGGAGCTGGTTAGAGCAGCCTTTGGGGATGCCCCAACCCATGTCTAGCTGCCGACGGTCTCTGTGGGCCCCTGCAGTAGCTAAGCCCTGGTCTACACTTAAACTTTAGATTGACCCAGCTACATTGCTCAGGGGTGTGAGCGGTTACACTGACCTAACGCTGGTATAGACATAGCTGGGTCGATGGAAGAGTCCTTCCATCAACCTAGCTACTGCCGCTCCGGGAGGTGGATTAATTACAGCAACAGAAAAACCCCTTTCTGTCAATGCTGGAGGTGTCTACACAACAGCTGTAGAGCCCGTAGTGCAGACACGCCCTATGACAAGCAGGGGCGGTGTCCTACTCGACGCCCTTTACCCAAGGCTGTTCCCCATCATGCGCCTGAAGCAGCAGGCTCCTGGGCCACCGTTCGGGCCATTCCCCAAAGGTCCCTATACGTTCTGCCACGGCCTGTGTCAAGTGACGGTGCTCTGTCACTCTCAAACACCTCCCCCACACACACTTAGACCCAACACCCACCTGTGCCTCCAGTCCCTGCCCACCCACCCCCAGCCCCTCACTCCGCTGCTTCCCAGGAAAGCCAGTGGTGCGCAGTGGCTGAGATTCAGGGCTATTCTTAACCTGTCTGTCACTTGTATCGCATGACAGACAGTAACAGGAACCGAGCCCCTCCCATTCTGCTTTCCTTCAGCTGCCTCCCAGGTCACAACAACTATCAGATCTGCTCTAGCTCCCTGGGCCGGGAAGGGCCATTGAATGGGGAATTTCGTGCTGTGGGGCAGGCAGGTGCTGGGAGCACCAAGAGGCATGGGCACTGGGTTGTGCTGGGCGGGCGCACCAAGGGGCCTGCACGCACCATGTATTCCTGGGGGTGGAAGCATGGGGGGGCCCACTGCCATGGGGCAGGAAGCACCGAGAGCTGCTTCCTTAGTGATAGCCCAGCAGGGGTCACCCAGCTAGCCCACGCTCCATCCCCGTGCTGTGAGCCCTGCAGAGCTCTCTCTTTATGTGCCTCCTAGGCCCGGGGCCCGGCAGGGAAGGAAACCTGCCAGGCAGTTCCCAGAGCAGCGGGCAGTGCTCATGGAGTGGGCAGGTTCCCCTCCCCCGAGTGGGGCCGGCGACTGGCTGGGATCCGCTTGGCGGTGATGGCTGATACGGTGCTCGTGGCGCACCCCATCCCTGCCAAGCAGTGCAAACCCCCCCAGCGGGTCGCCCTGCGGCAGCCTGGAAGAGAGAGGGTGGAGAGGGGAGGCGCTGACCACCACCTAGGTGAAGCGAATGAGCCAGGGGCAAGGTCCGGCGGCCAAGGGCTGTGTCCGGGAAGGGGCTGGCCCTGGGCATGTGCCTGAGCATGGGCCCCGGGAATCAGCACAGCTGGTGCAGGGCGATGCGTGGCCCTGAGGGCCTTGCTGAGGAAGCGTTTCCTGGCCATGAATCACCTGGAAATGATCCCTGGATACCGCCCCGTCCCCAGTGACTCAGGGATCAGCCTGGTGGGCGTAAGGATATTGGGGAGCCTGGTGCAGTCTTGCTGCCCCCCTCTGGTGGGGGAAGGCAGGCAGCATGAGTCACTAGGCCTTCTGCAGCACCCATGGCCATCTGGGGTGGGTGTGGGTGGCCAGACAGCACTGGGACCCCCTTCCCATACACTAACCCAGAACCTCTCTGTTCCCCCAGCGTGGGGTCCAGCCAGAGAAACGCCACAGCAAGATAGCTGGGGTGCCCCAAAAGTCCTGCACCCGTCACATCTTCCTGGGGTAATGTGGGGCTGAGCTTCAAGGGGTCATGGCCTGGAGCAGAGACCATGGGGCTAGGCAAAGGCCTGGAGACTGTGGGTAAAAGCCACTGTGGGGCTGGTTTTTGACAGCAAACAGGGACCTCAAGGGGTTTTTTAATACTAGTGAGCTAGTTCCTATGCAATCAGTGCAGCATCCATCTAGCTATCTACCCACCCTTCGGCACGGCTAGGTTTAGTCCGGCCTGGTGTGCGTCGTCCAGGTGTAAAGAGCCCGTTGGCAAAGCCTATGCCCGGGTGGGAGACCCCAGGGCTCAGCTGCCTGTGCTTGTTGCCTGATGCTGGCAGGGAGTCTGGCTCGGCTCGGCTCTGAGGGAGCTGGCAGCAGGGCTCCCTCTGTGACCATTTCCGGTACAACTTGGGGGAAGGGAGAGCTCTCTGTGCCCCGCACCCATCACACCTGGGACTGTCCCAAGGAAATTCCCTCTGTGTCCCCTGGCCATACTGCTGGGGCCTCAGTGCTGAGCCAGGCAGGCGGAGCTGGGCTGGGCTCCCTGCCTGGGGGGGCTAGTGACATAGACGTATTGCTTGCAGCTCCTCTGCGTCAGTGTGTTCCAGCCTGTTCCAGCGACTCCACCCCCCACCCTACAGGGCGACACAGCCCAGAGATGAGGGGGCAGAGATTTGCTGTGTGTTACTCCAATACAGTGCAGAGTCTGCCTCTCCAGCTGCCAGGTAACAGCCGCGCCAGGCCGCGGAGGTCAAGGAGCCAAGGGGAGCATGAGGAGGGGGGCTCAGGAAGAGCATAGGGGGCTGGGTGAGGTGCCAGCCGGGGATGGCATCACAGAGCTTCCAAGGTGTGGATGGGAAGCCCGGGACTAGGGGATTCAGCCAGCACAAGAGAAGGATCTTTGCCAGCTGTCTGGGGGGCTCTGGAGTGTTGGGTTGGCAGGAAAGAGGGATCCCAATGGACTTGGCAGACTGGAACATGGGTCTGCCCGGGTCACTCCTTTACCTGAACTGAAATGGCTCAAATTGGCCTGTCCGTGCACCCGCACCCGTCCCTGAAAGCTGCTGCTGCATGAGCCCTTTCCCCTTGGCAGGAATGGGCCTGGGCTGAGTGTCCCTCCTTGTCCCACTCTCCAGCATGCCTCTCCCTCCCCTCCCTTCCCTTCCCTTCCCTTCATCAGAGCAAGTTCAGCTCAGACCAGTGGCAGCTTTTCACACAGGGTCCTGCCTTCACCCAGGCTCCCAGACATGCCAGGTGAAGCCAGGTGAGTGGCCCAAAGGACATGAGGGCCTGGGACCCCCTGGGATCTGACACTCACTGGCTGGCTGAAGATGGGGGTGGGGCTCCAGAGAGAGGGCCTGTGAGGGAGTGGTGGAGTGGAAGATGCTGCTGGTGGTTGGCTGCTCATCCCAGAGCTGCAAAGCCGGTTGTTGTGCTGTCATTCAGGGGGTTATTCTGGCAGCACTTGATGGCTTTTCCTTATTAGAGGGAGAACATGGGTGCTGGGGAGCTGGGTCCAAGAATAATCACGGACTAAGGGGCTGTGCAGGGGGAATTGGGTTTGTTCAGCTGGAGCTCAGAAAGCACCATTGTTACATGTTTCACATAGGGTGACCAGATGAGATGAAGAAAATATCGGGACACCAGGGGGGCAAAAAAAAAAAAAAAGCCGAGTGCTGCCGGCGGAGCAAAATATCGGGACAAATTGCGTCCCGACCAGAGATTGGTCAGGACGTGGGACAAACAGCTAAAGATCAGGACAGTCCCGATTTTATCGGGACATCTGGTCACCCTA